TCTCCCCAAAATCTTTTAAAACAAGATTCTTACTTTTATGTTCTTAATAATTTCTTCATAGCATGTTTCATATCTTTGTTCCTCAGACTGTATATTACAGGGTTAATGAATGGAGTAACTAAAGAATAAAACAAAGTCACTATCTTCTGCATTCCAGCTTCATGCTAGGTTTTTGGGCTCACATACATGACCATCACTGAGCCATAGAAAAGAGAAACCACAGCGAGATGGGACCCACAAGTGGAGAAAGCCTTTCTTCGTCCAGAAGCTGAAGGGACCCTCAATACAGCACATAGGACCAGAGCATGGGAACCCACGATAAAGAGAAAGGGAACAAATAAGAGCAGAGAGCTTAAGGTAGAGCTAGTTAACTCTATTACAGGGGCTCTGGTACAGGTGAGGGCCAACAGAGGACCCAGATCACACAGGAAGTGGTTGATGATCCTGGATCCACAAAAGGACATTTGGGAAATAACAATGATAGGAACCAGGAACCAGAGAAAACCAAGTACCCAGCAGCTGACCACAAGTTTGGTGCAGAGATGTCCAGTCACAAGAGCAGGGTAATGCAGAGGCCAGCAGATGGCAAGGTATCGATCAAATGCCATAACAGCCAGGAAAAAGCATTCTGTAGAACCCAAGGAGAAGAAAAAGTAGAACTGGAGAAAGCAGCCAGAGAAGGAGATGATCTTGGTGTCAGAGAGGAAGTTGGCCAGCATGTTGGGGACAGTGGAGGTGACATACCAGATTTCCAGGAAGGAGAAGTTGGCAAGCAGGATGTACATGGGGGTGTGGAGTCTCTGATCCCAGCTCACAGCACAGATGATGGAACCATTGCCCATGAGGGTGAGGAGGTAGACCACAGAGAAGAGCACAAAGAGGAGGATCTGCCCCTCCTTGGGGCAAGGGAAGCCCAGGAGGATGAAGCCAGAAATGGTGCTGAAGTTGTTGGGGGTGCTGGAGATTTTCATGGGTCTATGAGCTGAAAAGCAACAAATTATTGAATGAGTATGTAAAGACAGATGGAGACCCAGATATGTAATAAAGTGACTTTGAGGAATAGTTATTATTTAATCCCAAAATACTGTTCTGGCTTAGTTGTTGGATTATAAAAAACACTAGAAGTCAGTGAGTATCAGTGGATAGACAGAAATGTTTTCTTATTGTGAAATGTATGGAAACATGCTTAACGTGTAACTATACAGCTTAAATCATTATGCATAAAACTGCAAATAACTACCACTGAAGTCAAGAAATAAAGTATCACTTGTTCCCTAGAACTGCCCTCATGCTCCACCCAATCACTACCCTCTGTCTTTCTGCTCCCCCAATGGTAACATTCTCTTTTTCTTATGGTAATCATTTCCTTGTTTTTCCTTATTTTAATAACTATGTATGCATTCCTAAATGAAAATATTCAGTTTGCTTGTTTTTGTACTTCACATAAATGAAATCATGTTATATGTAGTACTTTTTGATGGCCTCTTTTGTTTAACAGTAAGTTTGTGAACTTCATGTTGTTGCATGTATCTATAGTTTCTCTATTTTTACTTTTCTAAACTATTACATTCTGTGAATAAACCATCACTTATTTAGCCATTCTACTATAGAGGTATAGTTTCATTATTTTCAGTTTGGAAATATCAGGAGTACTGCTACTATGAACATGTAGTTAATTTTTCCTGGTTTATACATGCAGGCATTCCTATAGGCTGGATCATAGGATGTGTGTATCTTCAACGGTAGGTCATATAAGTACTGTTCCATCCTTAATGCATTGTTTTTCAGTCCTACTGATAATATATGAGAGGTCTGATTGTCAAACATTCTTTTCTAATGTTAAGATCTGTATTTACTAGAGCCTGGGAAATGACCTATAGACTGCATTTTAATAGCTTCTCTCTTTTTCTTTTTCTTTTTCTTCTGGTAATATCAGACTGGATTGTTTTCTTCTTGGCAGTACTTTTTTTCAGAGTAGGTGGTTATATCAGACCTGTGCTGCTTTCAAGAGAGTATTCTGGAAGTGATAAGGAAAATTATCTCAAAACTTGGTTTAGGAGAACATTTTAATACATGGTATAATTTACAGCCACTTCTGGAAGGTCCATTATCCATGTATATGTGCTTTGGGTCTTGTGATCAGCTTCATGACTAAACAAGACATTTATTTGTCTCACCTCCTACTTTTTGTATATGCCTCTCCCAAGAGAGAATTCTTTGAAAGAATAAGAGAATCTTTCTAAACAATAATTTTCAAATAGAGCTCTGTCACAGGCTTAAAATCAGTTTGTTTGAGAAGTTATTTTGCTAGAAATAATTGGAATTAGCATGATGCTTTGTACTTACACTGCTTTTAATAAATATTCATAAAATGAATGAATAAAAAGACTTTTTCAGTTCCCCAAAAGAGATCACACCAACATAGCTATTTGTGAGCAAAGCTGACTTCTCATGTGGCCATGGAACAGAGGATCCTTGGGACTACTGGAATCACTTTTCTTTTGAGGTAGTTAACTAACTCATTGATTCTCTTTGGTAATGCAGTCTACCAGTCTAGTACTGCAGTAGTAAAACATGCAAACTAATTGTAAGAAATAGGTGCAGCTTGCTTCTGTTAATATAGTTCCCCAGCCCTCCAAGGTAGATACAGTTGAGGGATAGGATCAGTATTTGGTCTTGTTGAAACAGGTTTTTGATTGTCTGGATTGGGAATATGACTCTTCAAAATCCAATGGTTCCTATTCCAGTTATGTAAACTGTGGCACCTGATGTTACTGATCTAATATTAAGGTACAGGGAGGAGGAAACTTGAAAAGAAGAGAAAACTTAAAATTTTTTGTTCCCTTTCCCAGTTACTGCTTGGGAGCACCTCAAGGCAGAATGACTTTGATGGTTACACATTTGCAAAATGATGTAATGTTTTTCTGAGTTAAAAAATAACGACCTTTATTAAATAATCCTGCACTCAGACCTTGGTTTTAGTTATTACAGCCTCTGTAAATATGGTATGACCTCCCTGGATAAATGGCAGAAAGTGTCAGGGGAGAGGTGGTTGATTAGAATGTATTTTTGTTTTATTTTTGGAGAGGAAGAAAATTTGTGACAGGGTACTCAAAAACTGATTAATATTTTGGAACTTACATAAAATGTTGCGAAATCTTTCCTCTCTGAGCCCTGTCTAGTTCTGGCTTTTTTATATGATTCCCCCTGCATGGACTCTAGAGGGTACTGTGAATATTGGTACAATGATGTCTGTGTTTATGTCCCAAGGCCAAGGTAATGGACTGAGTTAATTATTAGCAATCACTTTTTAAAAAAATTTACTTGTTGAATTAGTCACCCCTGGAATGGTAGACTATGTCTGAGTGAGCACTGCCATGTCAAACACACTGTGAGAAAGATATTTCCTAATATTTAAATTTTTCCTCAAAGCTCAGGGCAGTAGAAATCTTGGTACATCCATGTGTTGGCCATCTTTCTACAACCAGGCCATAGATGTCTCATAACAACTCATTTCTCTCCCTTAGCTAGTTTGCATGGTTTTAGTTGGGGTCTGCCACATCTGTAATATTGAGTAATCTCTTCCTGGAAAACACAAAATTAAGGATAATTTTCCAGGTTAGGCAGCTGTCTATAACAGAAAAAATACTGAATTTAGAGTCAAGAATTTTTTTTACTAGTCAGAGGAAATTAATGCTCAGTTTTTTATAGCTATAAAATATAGGCATAATTATCCCTTCTCTGTGGGCTATTAAAAGGATTATGGAATGAGATAAATGTCTGTGGCAGTACCTTTTACCAATGCTGACCAATAAGAGCTTAAATATTGGTTGTTTGTATATGGCCATAGAAAATTCAAAGAGAACTGTGGGTAACAGCTACTAATTATGATTGTGTTTTACTCTTCTAAACACTACATAACCTTATTACCTGCATCAGTAAAGGGAATTCCAAACTGAAGCTTCCCAAAGGTTTCTTTTTTATTTTCTTCATTAGAAGAGCTAATCTTCTTGGCAATAACCAGAATGGAGAAGAGAGGTAGAAATGGTTGTGATAAGGATCCTTGATTGTGCTGCTGAAGAATGGAGGGATTATAAGGAGAGCCTTCCAGGAAGTAAGCCCTTTTTTAAACTTGATCCTTGAGGAGCCATTTACTGCTTCTAAAGGGAAAACTGTGTCAAGAGACATCTCTATGCTTGTTATTCACTTCCCTTGGGCTCTGCCTTAATTTCTGTTTTTTTTCTATGCAAGTTGAAATAATATATTTTCTTTGCTTTAAACCTCTCTAGGCAGAATGAAATTTAACAAATTAATTGGTTGTTTGATTCATTAAGCAACAAATAAATCCATCTTTAATTTCCCTTAGTGTGACTACCATTTGGCTAATGATGAATCTTACAAACCTGAAGAGGATAGAAGCAGTCTCAGATGTCCGTATCTGATCCGACATTCCCAACTAGGTCATGCTGTTCTCTTATTGGACATAAACAATATTATAAAATACAACCCCAGTTGAAGTTATTCTGATACCATGATAAAATGAGACAAAACAGGGGTACTTCTTAATTTTGTCTCTGCACAGAAAAAACAAGTTAACTGTGCTACCCATAAAATACCAAATATCCTCTCTTGGCTAAAATGAGTGGCTGCTACTTTTTTTTTTAGAGCCAGTTACATCTTTATTCTCCTTTTTGTCTTGAGACACAGACCCATAAAATTGCCCTTGCCTTGACACCATCCTGTCTGGTGCAAACCACCACTTCCTTAGACCCTCCTCCAGATCACTCAGCCAATGCAGCAATTCTGTCCTAGGCTCTTTCTAAGACCGTTTTAGTGGGACAGCCCATGGTTCTCTCATGATATATGCTATCCCTTGCTATGATGAGTAATAAACCCAACTCACTCATCTTCAGGTATTCCTGTGGTCTTTGGCCAAAGGGCATTGACAAACCTAATGCACAGTAAGTTGTCTGAGAAGCAGGAAGTTTTTTTGTGAGACCTCATGTAGACATCTCCAAGAAGGCAGCTGCATCTAGGGACACTTCCCAGGCCCAAGGATGTTCTGGGTTAGGGTCAGTCAATACAGGGTCATTCTGCAGTGGCTGTCTGAGTAACTGCCACTGGGAGGTGGCTTCACTGTTTGCTTATCCTCAACAGAATGGCAGATCCTTTAACACAACTGATCTCCAGAGTCTCCATCCACCCTATTGTGGCAGAAATTCCTGTTTAAAATACTGTTGAGTTCAGTTAACTTCCCTGTTTGGCCACCGTTTATATTTTAAAATATTTCAAAGTCCTCATCTGGCAGACATGGCATCCTGTAGCACAGCCTCATTCATTTTTCTTCCTACTTCCCAGAGTTTCTTGCAGATGTTGCTATGTCTTGGTAAAACCAAACTACTCAGGTGCACAGTGGGAGCTCAAAAAATGTGTCTAGCAAATGTAAAAGAGCACCCAGTGTGAATGATTTGCAGTGGGCGAGGCAAGCCCTGTGGAGAAAGTGACCTAGAAAACCAGGTGTGGAGGGTTGATCAGTTAATTGTGTTAGGAGTGTCTGTACTGCTCTTTGCCTCTTTTCTGTCCTTTTTTATATTTCTTCCCCAACTCTGGGATTGATTGGAGAATACTTCTACATTTTATTTTTAAAACAGTTTTATGGTATAACTGGCATACTGTAAACTGTATACAGTCAAAACATGTAATTTGATAAATATTCACACACGTATATATGTGTGTGTGTATATACATACATACCTGTGAAACCATCTCCATAACCAAAATTGTAAACAGTTGTCATCTCCAATCATTATGCCCCTTTGCAATCCCTCTTCCTACCCTTCGCTGACCCCAGTCCTGACCGCTGATCTTTCCCTGACTATAGATGAGTTTTCATTTTTTACAGTTTTATATGGATGGAATTGTACCATATGTACTTTCTTTTTTTTGGTTTAGTTTCTTTCACTCAGCACATTTTGAGATTCATCCACTTTGTGGTGTGTATCAGTAGAACATTCCTCTTTATTGCTGAGTAACATTCTGTTGTACAGATATATCAGAATTTGTTCATCTGTTTACCTATTCATGGACATTTGGGTTGTTTCCAGTTTTATGTTAAAATAAACCTGCCAGGAACATTTCTTTGTAAGACTTTGTGTGGCATATATTTTTTTCTCTAGGTAACTAGCTAGGAGTGAAATAGCTTTATCAAATAGTAGATGCATGTTTAACTTTTTAAGATACTGCCAAACTGTTTTCCAAAGAGCTTGTACCATTTTACATTCATACTAGCAGTGAGTGTGAGCATCAGTTCCTTTATGTTGTCACAAAACTTGTATGGCCAGTTTTTGAAATTTTAGTCATTCTGGAATCTATTTCACTGTGGGTTTAATATATATTACCCTAATTTCAAAACATTGAAAATATTTTAATTTTCTTATTTGCCATCTCTGTATCTTCTGTTTAAATCTTTTTCCCGCTTTTCAGTTGGGTCATTTGATTTCTTATTATTGATTTTTGAGCATTCTTTTTGTATTCTGTATTCTGTATTCAAGTTCTTCAGCAGACATACACTGTATCAGTATTTTCTTCCAGCTTGTGGCTTGTCTTTTCATTCTCTTAAAAGTGTCTTTCAAGGGCAGATATTTTAAATTTTGTTGGAGTTCAACTTATCAGTTTGTTCCTTTATGGATTGCATTTTTGGTGGTGTACTTCAGAGGTTATTGCCTAAGCCACAGTCATAAGAATTTTCCCTTGTTTTCTTTGAGGTGTTTTAGTTCCAGACCCATTTTGAATTAATTTTTCTCTACTTTTTGAGGCGTGAAATATTGAAATTATTTTTTATATGGTTATCCAATTATTCCAGCACCATTTATTAAAAATACTCCCCTTTCTCTACTTACTCTTGTGCCTTTGTTTAAAATCAGTTTTCCACACATACGGGACTATTTCTGGGCTCTCTATTTTGTTTCATTGATTGATTTGCTTACTTAATGCTAATGCCACATTATTTTTATTATTGTAGCTTCATAATAAGTATTAAAATCAGGTAATGTTACTCCTGCAACTTTGTTCTCTCTAGTCTAAGTCCTTTATATTTCTATATGAATATAAAAAGGCACACATAAATAACATGCAAAGAAATAAGTAGTTTTAAGATAAGAAGGACTTATGAAGGTATGAATTTAAGGTGAGATTTTTATTAAGCATTTCTTTTAGTGTATAGTATTGAGCAGGCTCCCAAGGAGTTAAAATAAAACTGTTTATTGGGTCCTAGAAAGTTCTAGATGGTCTGATCATGCCTACCTCTCCACATTCACATACCATTTTCGTTTAGAATCGTCAAATCAATTTTTTTATTCTTTGAAAGCACACTTGAAATTTTCTCAAGGCAGCCTTCATGTCCTTGTTCTAAAGACTGTAGATCAGTGGGTTTATAAGTGGAGTCACCGATGAGTAGAACAAGGTTAAAATCTTCTGTATTCCAGCTGTATTTCCAGAGGTTGGGCTGCTGTACATAAGCATGATGGTTCTATAGAATAGAGTCACCACAACTAGGTGGGAGCCGCAGGTGGAGAAGGCCTTACGCCTGCCAGCTGCTGAGGGGACACACAACACTGCTCTGAGAACCAGGGTATAGGACCCAAGGATGAAGAAGAAGGTGATGAAGATAATAAGGGAGTCCAATACAGAACAGGAAAGCTCAATTCCAGGGGCAGGGATGCAGGACAGAGCCAGAAGAGGACCAAGGTCAGAGACAAAGTGGTCAGTGGTGTTGGGGCCACAAAAGGGGAGTTGTGTGATAAAATAGATAGGGACTGGATAGCAAAGGAAGGCTGTTACACAGCAAAGGGCCACCAAGTTCATGCACAGGTGGCTGCTCATGATGGTAGGGTAGCGGAGAGGCCGGCAGATGGCCAGGTACCAATTAAAAGCCATGAGGGGCAGTAAGAAGGTCTCAGTGATGCCCATGGAGAAGAAGAAATATAACTGGAGGAAGCAGGCAGTGAAGGAGATGGTTTTGGTCTCTGACAGGAAGTTCCTTAACATAATGGGAACAGTGGTGTTGATGTAACAGATCTCTAGGAAGGAGAAGTTGGTCAGCAGAATGTACATGGGGTGTGAAGCCTGCGATCCAGCTTCACTGCACAGACGATGGCCCCGTTCCCCATCAGTGTCAGGATGCAGGACACAGAAAACAGCATGAAGAGGACGACCTGAACCTCTCTGGAGCAGGGAAAACGCAGGAGTACGAACTCAGTCACTGTGTGGACTCCTGATATATTGATGGCTTCCTAAAGGGTGGGGAGGAAAAAATGACAGGGACAAAGATGACTGACCTTATCTTTACTCCTCAGGAACATTTCCTTCAGATATCCCAAAGTCCCTCAGATTATTCTAGTAAATAAATAGTTGCACTGCTGAAGACTGTCAAACTGAGAGGGCTTGATACGACCAGCTTTGAATCTTTGTACTCTCTCACTCTTCTTTCAGAGTTTGCTCAGATCCAGTAAAGGGATCACATGCAGCTTGGAGAAGGTTAATGGCAGTGTAAGTAGGTGTGAAAATCATGGGTTTTTATCTATAAGATAAGATATATTGATCCTTAATATTGGACACAGAATTTCAAAACTTTGATCTTTGGAATTAAAGACAAATGTTAGACATCAAAACAAAAGAGGGAAAAGGTAACATAATACACTGAAATCTTTATGCATTTCACTTTTTTCCTGGATCAGTGTTGGAAGTTTAAGTGTTGGCATATTAAGGTGGTATGATAACTGAGACAAAAAAATGTCAATGTACCATCCTTTATTCAGTGTTCACTGAAGTTTGTTAACTTCAGTGTCTGAAGACCCAGACACCGACATGATGGCTTTCACACTGGTCCCATGTGCTACCTGTTGAAAAAAAAACAAACCTTACTTTAAAATCTTGGTCTAGGTTAAAATTCTACTGATATGTATAAAAAGTGAGCAGTGTATCTGGTATGTTCTTTAAGGATTTTGAGGGTTTTGCATGAGGTGTCAGGATTCCAGGTTTGTGGACAGATGCAGAGAACCTGAAACCTCTGGGCATCAAGGACGGTCGTGGGGGCCATGAGCTCTCACTGGACAAGGATTCCTGTCCTATTTGGGCAGCCTCGCTGTCTCCCCCATCCTATTACAGATGTGCAAGGTTGGAGTTGTTTTGAGAGGTGGAAGGAGAATCTTTATGAAAACTTCCTCCTCTGAGCCAGACTCAGTCTTGGATGTTGTATGACTTCCGTGGTTACAAAGTAGAATCAAGCCATTGAATCCCCCAAGATTCTGCCAACAGTCATTTGTCTTAAGTTATTAACTTTTTAAGGATCCCTTCTCTTACTGAGGAACAGTCATCGTTTAGTCCTAAGTGATCTAAAGTGACATGACTGAGCGATGATATTTATACAGGAAATATAAGTGCCAAATATAGACCCCAATGCTTTTCTTTATTCTAGCTAAGAATATTTATTAATGTATTAGTTATCAAATGTGTTACTTTCCAGATTATGTAAAGTCATAACTTTAAAGATGATGTTGATTAATGCAGTTAGTCATATAAATATGGAAAAATTCAGAATTTTCCACATCAGACTTCATTGTGAGGCTCCTCATAGATTTGTGAAGAGATCATGTTTGTCACAGCAAGCTGTGAATGATTCCTCTGGAGCAAGAATTCAGAGTGACCCAGAAGCCAGAGAAACCCAGAGGAAAAAGTTTAAAAACAAGAACTATTTGTGACTAATGTGTCTGAGGATTCTACTGGCTTTGTAAGCCATGTGGGGTGAACTTACCCATCTGGAGCACTCAGTCATGTTCTCCCTTGCAGTGGCTGATTATCTGCTCTGTGGCTGAGCCAAACATGAGTAAAAGAAGGAAGAGCTGCAGTTCTGTCCTGTCCAGCTCTGCACACTTTGTCAGTCATTTCCAGATGTCACTTCACTAACATCTTTGTTCCCCCGAAAGCCTTATTCTGACTGATACACCTCTTCATTAATAAGGACAGAATTTACATACTATTGAGGCTTCTTCCTCATCTTCATCCCTCAGTTCCCATATGCCTGCACCACTTAGTTGTAAAGATGAATCTCTTTACATTAATTCATGTAACTTGAGGTGCTGTTGTTTTTACTGCCACACGAGAGAGGGCAGAGACAAAGAGCACACCTGAGAACTCTCCTCTATGTCTATACTTGTATCTCTTCTGAACCCATCTCCTCAGAGACCTGTCAGGTCTGACTTGTAATCTTCTGTTTTCACTGCAGTGAAAGGCAGGCAAGATGGAGTGCACGGCATCCTTGGCAGCTAGCAGCCTAGAGAGGAGGCTTGCATTGCTGGACACAGGATACTGGTTTGGAGAGAAATGGGTGTATTTGCTGCACAACAGAGACTTATCTATGTTGCGCTGAAACGTATGCCTTCTTCCTCCTAAGGGATATAATCTGTGAGTTCCCAAAGTGAGACTTTATGAGGGAAGATTGTCAATCATATCCCAAATGCTCCCTTCCCTCAGGGGCCCATTAATTGGCCTTTGGGACCCAGTTTCTCCAGTGGTGAATGATTATCTCATGTTATTCCTAGAGCAGCTGTTTATTTTGTTCTGTAGACAGGTTACTGTTATGGTGCAATCAGTACAGTCACACCAGCTTAGCTGGAACACGAGGGTTTTGTCTGTCTTCTTGTTTCTTTGTATTCAATTTTGTTCATGTTTTCAGTTTGTTTGCAAGCTTTGTACTTTCCTGTTAGCATCAGAGTTATGATATCAGATTTCTCATCTTCTTTCCTACTGACTCACTGAATGACTTGAAGAGGGTCATTCCTTTTTTTTGGTAAACAGCTTACTCTCCTGGCTCAGCTCTAGTGTGGCACTGGTAAGTAAGCACCATGTCATGGTGATCAGGTCCCAGGAGCAGAAACCATAGTGCATGTGGTAAAATGCCAAACTTCTAGAAGATACTTCTCCATTTAGCTGTTTAGTTCAGTTCAAATTGACTTTAGTAGATTTCCTTAAGAGTTGTCATGCCTGTTAAAATTTTCATTTTTTTTGAATTTTCAAGTGAAGCATAACTGAGAGAACTCAAACCTTTGGACCCCTCTTTATTATTATTTATTATTATTATTATTATTATTATTATTATTATTTGTATTTGTATTTGTATTTAAAGGTATTATTGATATACACTCTTATGAAGGTTTCACGTGAAAAAACAATGTGGTTACTACATTTACCCATATTATCAAGTTTCCACCCATACCCCAATGCAGTCACTGTCCATCAGTGTAGTGAGATGCCACAGATTCACTATTTAACTTCTCTGTGCTACACTGTTTTCCCGGTGATCCCGCACACCATGTGTACTAAATATAATACCCCTCAATCCCATTCTCCCTCCCTTCCCAGCCCCCCCTCCCACACCTCTCCCCTTTGGTAACCACTAGTCCCTTCTTGGAGTCTGTGAGTCTGCTGCTATTTTGTTCCTTCAGTTTTGCTTCGTTGTTGTACTCCACAAATGAGAGAAATCATTTGGCACTTGTCTTTCTCCACCTGGCTTATTTTAATGAGCATAATATCCTCCAGCTCCATCCATGTTGTTGCAAATGGTAGGATTTGTTTCTTTCTTATAGCTGAATAGTATTTCATTGTGTATATGTACCACATCTTCAGTATCCATTCATCTACTGAGGGACACGTGTTATTGTTAAGTTTAGAAATTCCTAAATTTAATCTCAGTGTTCATAACTCTGTGTATTACAATATCCTGGGGAGGTTTTCACAATACCTGTGCCTAGGCCCCACCCCAAATCTGAGTCAGTTAGTTGAGAATCACTCTTTATATGGACGTAGGTTCAATAGGAAGTTCTACTTGTTGTGATTAGTGTGAGCCTTTCAGACAATCTGTGGTAGAGCAATGGTTTTCCAACTTTAATATGCCTAAGAAACCACTGAAGATAAAATGAAGATTCTGCTTCAATAGGCCTAAGATGGGACCCTGAGATCCTGCTTTCTAACAAGCTCTGCAGTGATGCTTAGTTGATGATCCAAAGTCCACATTTTCAGTTGTAAGTGTTGTATATTTTAAAATGTGCAGGAATAGAAACATGGTTCGTAAGAAGAAAATGAAATAAAGCACTTACATTATTAGAGAAAGGGACTTATGAAGTGAAGGAAGATGCAGGTAATTTCTTGTACATTAACTTTCTAGTGAGATTTTTTTCACTGATTTGATTATCACTTCATGACTGGTTCAACCAATTCAGGTTGACCTCATATTTTTTCTAGGAAAATCTGTTTCATTTCATCTATAGGACATATAAAATGAAGATTGTTACAGAGTTTGTGTAGCATCTTTAGATATTGTTCTGACTGTCAAGAAAGATAGAATCTAGTGAGGAAATATGAACAAATATAGGTGCTTTATTTAAATTGATATTTAATTTAAATTGATATATTTACATTTTTATGCTAGGCATTGTGTTGATTCTGGCATTACAGAAATTAATAAAGCATAGGACTGCTCTTAAAAATCTAATCTAGTAAGGATGGGAAGGCACGTAGGGACAGATTTGTGAACTGCTAATTTTAATGCAAAGAAGAGGAAATGACATGTTAAATAGACATGCGGACAATGTGCTACAGAAGAGGCAATTCCACCTGGAGAAGCCTTCCTTGATGACCTGGTATTTAGGATTTTGAAATGCCTCCTTCAAAACTTTCACATCTCTTTGCCAGTTTCTCAGTGTGCACTCTGCACTGACAGGAGGCTCACAGTCTGCTGGAAATCATTCACTAACGTCACAGATCAGTTTAAGAAATTCCTAGAACTTTCTTCAAGGCATCCTTCATTTCTTTATTCTGGAGGCTGTAGATCATAGGGTTGAAAAAAGGTGTCAAAATTGAGTAGAACAAAGTTGTGAACTTCTGCATGCCCTCCGCTTGTACTGACCCTGGGTTCACATATGTCATCATAAAAGAACCATAGAATAGAAACACGACAACCAGATGAGAGGAGCAGGTGGAGAAGGCCTTTTTCTGGGCAGCAACTGAGGGCACCTGTATGACAGCCCTCAGCACCAGGGTGTAAGAGCCAATAATGTAGAAAAAGGTGGCAAAGATGAGGAGAGAGCTAATGGTGCCACATACGAGAACAGTCCCTGGGACTGGGACACAGGCTGAAGCCAGGGCTAGCAGAGGACCCAGGTCACATAGAAAGTCATCAATCACATTTGGGCCACAAAATGATAGCTGAGTAATGAGTATCACTGGGATTAGAAACCAGAGGAAACCATACATCCAGCAAAAACTGACCAGGCTGCAACAGAACTTGGTAGTCATGACAGTGGGGTAGAGCAGAGGGCAGCATATCGCCAGGAACCGGTCATAGGCCATAATGGAGAGAAATAAGCATTCAGTTGTTCCCAGTGAGAAGAAGAAGTACAATTGGAGGAGACACTGAGCAAAGGAGATGGTTTTGGTCTGGGAGAGAAAGTTGGCCAGCATGTTGGGCACATCAGAATTGACATAGCAGATCTCCAGGAAGGAGAAATTGGCCAACAGAATGTACATCGGAGTGTGGAGCCGGTGGTTCCAGCGTACCACACACACAATAGCCATGTTTCCAAGGAGGGTCAGAATGTAAGTCACAAAGAAAATGAAAAAGAGGAAGATCTGTATTTCCCAGCGGCAAGGGAAGCCCAAGAGGATGAACTCACTCACAGTGTGAGAAATGTTTCTGGCCTCTGAGGTCATTTCCTTCCATCCTGTGAGGGTTGCAGCAGAAATTGCATATATAAAGGGAATTATGCCTCTTGATTCTTCCCCAGGAGAATGGGAAAAATTTCCTGATGATGGTGGAGGGGCCTAGACCAGTGGTTTCTGTTTTTGACTGGGTACCCCAATGATACAGTTGCTGAGTACACTCCTCTGTACATAACAATTCATTTTTAAACTATATATAAACACCTGCTGATGAATATAGTAAATATTGGTAAAGATTTTTAAAAAAGTTTTCTTATAATTAAAATAAGAATAGAAATTCAGATATTTCCTTTCTGCATCCCTCACTGGGTTGCTTGGTGTCCGAACTTTGCTGAATTGGTCTAGACAATTTAGATAGGTGACTGCATAGAGCTGAATTATGTTAACTCTGCCACAGGCAATTCAATTATAAGAAAATTAGAATTGACAAATTTACTGAACAAAATTTGTGATGTAAAGGAGAAACCAAGGTGCTTTGAAGCCAGATGTGAAAATAACCACAGAGTGACTTTAAGCGAGTTACAATTTAGCTACATTAAGTGACCATTTATAGGCCATTATTAGTATCTATTCTCTATCTGTAGGACAGTGTAGTACATGGGCTCCAGACTAGTATCAGAATCACATGGGGAAGGCTTTCAAGGGTGTAAATTTCTGGACTTCGGCTTGGCTTAGTATTCACTAGTGTGGCGGAACACAGGCTTTAGAGACATTACAGATTTTGGCTCTGCCTCTTCCTGGGGAGTATTTCTTTAGGAAAGAACTTATGCTCTGAGATTACGTTACTTTCTTTATAAAATATGAGTAATGCCTCCATAGCATGAATGACATGAGAATTGCATAAAACATTAAAAGCAGTTAATAAATTATGAAATGCTGCAGAAATATAAACTATTGCAAACTGTTCTGGTATTACTATGCTTGATGTTACACTCTCTTGTTAATCTTATAAATACAGAAGAGTATTTTTGCCCATAGAATTTTAGCCATGTGACAAGCTGAGTAAATGCATGTGTGTGTGTGTGTACATGTGTGTGTGTATACATGTGTGTCATATAAGGCTACGAGGGAGCTCCTCAGTCCTCTCATACAACACCAAATGCAATTCCCTAATAAGACACATTTTGCCCATCAGACACACCAGGGCTCTCATTTTCTTCTTTACAGGCTGTCTTCCCTGGTAGGAATACCACTAGAGTCTTAAATTATAGGGTCATTTTCCTGATGGCTACAACATAGTTTGTACTAAGGTTACCTAGTTTTGAATCTGCAAAATATCCTGGGTAATCCCTTCCCACACTGCCCTCCACCTATACCCCACTGCCCTGTGGAATATGAGAATCAGACTGTACTCAACTGATCATAATAGAGGAGCACCAAGAAATACTATTTCAAGACAGGCAGCCTTATGGAAATCAAGTTCTTGATGCAAACTTTTTCTTTCTTTATTCTTTGATTTTGTGGTTACTCGGACCTGGAGGAAGCCTGCCTATTCTTTTGAATAAAGGGAATAAAAGGAAGTTTATCTAAATTTTAGACCTTATCCTAAGCCAAAGTTTAACTCACAAGTTTGGAATATAGGTCTGTCATCTCTGTTTCACATATCTTTGTCCTCCTTTCCCAATTTAGAAGCTCAGGGCTTAAATGTTCTGTTCGCCTTTTCATAACATCAGCAGTTCTCTGAGAAAAAAAATCCAATAAACTCATGCATAAACTTACCCACCAACATCTATGAAGATTTCAGCAGTTTTCATTTTCCATGTTATGTACCCAAGGCACAAGACTAGATGGCACACATACTCAATTTACTGGAGCAGAATTTACTGGGGGAACTTGTTGGCCCAGAATCAGTCACAGGCATACAAGTCCTCTTGCTTTTTGTAACTACAATGGCACCCAGAACTCAGGGATGTTTCATTCCGAGAGGGCACCCCAGCCTTTGAGCTGTGAGTTTTTTTTTAAACTGTATGATTAGGGAGTGCTTACCCCTCCCCTGATGTGATTAGGGTCAGGATATAATATCAAAATGAAGGCAACTTGGCTTTAGTCCTATTTCTAAGCTAAGAATTTGTGGCAGGGGGAAAGCAGGCACCAGCTCTTCTGGTGTGATTGGGGGCTGTGGTTCAAACTTTGCAGTGGCAAGCTAATAGGATTCTTTGTGTCAGCCATGTGATGGAAAAAGTAATTGCCTTAAGCACTGGGAAATAGATGCTTCATTTTGCTGGAGCTTCATAGGAGACAAATTCCTCTGTGAGAGGGCAGCTTGAAACAAGTTAGCCCTTATGTCTAACAGGTGTTATTTTGGGGGGCTTTTTTAATCACACTATAGGAAAGCCATAGCAAGGATTATTATCTCCATTTCACATATGAAAATATGAAGATTAAAAGAGGTTAAGTGGCTGAGGTCACAAATTGTTCATAACTTTCTGAAGATGTGATCTTGCTAAAAGTGAACACACCACTCATACTGTGTGATTAACACAGAGCACAGCAGTGCTATAATCTCTTTTGCTCTAGAAACTCATGCACATTTATATTGACACTAGCTCTTTTGCTGCAGGAACTTTATGCTGTTTGAATTTTATTGATTGAGCTTTCATTTTACCAAAGCCTTTAGAGTTTGTTCACAAGAACTTACTTAAAACCATGTTGGCCATGTGTGATGTTTGTGTTATTGAGTTTTTGAAGTGAGGGAAGTTAATTACTGAATTGACTTTCAAATATTAGCTGCCTTTTCTATTTTTATTGCCTATAAGTTTGATAAAATTTCCTGTGAGTTTCACTCATGTCTTTGATTAAAATATTTGTAGAACATGATAAAATACTTTTTCACATCACTGAAAACTTTCTCTTGGTTAACATCTGTTATTATCAACAATTGCAAATATATGGTGAAGCTTAAAATAGATAAATAATGCAAAGGTAGTGAAAATGACATGGTATTTCTGTAAAGATTCTGGCATATATTATTAAACAGATCATTTATGAAAAAATTTTAGAAGCAACTTTTGGACTTTAAATTGGTACCCTTGTTCAATTACAGTTTTTTAAATTTTTTCTTTCATTCTCCAAAAGTCTTTAAAAACCCCAGTAGTGGTTTTGAAATCACACCTATAAATTCTTTCTGTACCCTGGAATATAATTTTTCTAGTTCTCACAACTTTAGTTTATTTAAAACAAATAAGTGCTGTTTTACTTTATTTTCATGTCAATTCTCTTTTACACACTTGTTTTCCTTTGTAAAGGAAGATCATCCTTTGGAGCTGTCCATATTCTAATTTAGACTGATGGGTCCCATGCCTTCCTCTTCCCAGAGGGCAGGAGATGCCCCAGTCTCTCTTTCTCTTCTTTTTTTTTTTTTTCATCTCATAAACTCTGAAAGCAAGGTGACCCTGTCAACCCAATGCTATCAGCTGGTGTTGGAAAGACCTTTTTGTTTAGGTCTTAGTGCAGTGAGAAGCTTACTAAGTTCCTGAGAGAAACTCATTTTTCTTTTATATTCACTTTATTATAACAGATACTTTCTCTGTATCTGTTTCTGTCAGCTTGCCTATTTCTTTCTCTTTGCATTTATTTTTTCTCTAGAGTTGCTTCTAAAATGACAGTACGGCTTGGGATTTCTTACCTTTGGAAATATAAGGACTGGCTACAATAGTATCCATCTCATATTGCTTCTGTACTTGTATAATTAAGGAAAAATATATCATGACATGTTTTCAGTAAAATATTTTTAAGTAAAAGCATTAACTTAATGCTGTCCATCATGAACTGGTTCATTTTCTATTAAGTATTACTTTGCTCCACTTGTCAAACACCTATGTGCTAGGTACAGTCTTTTCAAGCTTATCTTGAAAACTTCATTTGGCTTTCTGATCATTGGTCTAAAACCATCAAAAATACAACAGAAGTACCTACTGTATTCTTGTATACTTTTCAATGCAAGGGATGTTTTGGAACATATATTTATATTCCAGTATGGTGAAATGTCTTAAAAATTAAAAGTATTCCTTTCAATAAAATTAAGGTGTGAATATGAAAAGAAGTGAGTATGAGATTTCTATGTAAATTTTGGGAATTAAATCTGTTACCTCTACATTTCTAGATGAAGGTTGTTAATTTAAATATAAAAAATATAAATTTTCTTTAGCTTTTCAAATGAGCATAGATGAATAATCATAATACCAGTGTTGGTGAAAGTGCAATGCAATGACCCTCAGAAGAATTATTAGAGGGAATATAAACTTGTAAATTTTTTTTCCTGGCAGGCAATTTGGAAATACACAGAGCTTTAAAAATATTTATACCCATTAAATAAAAATCAGAGGTGTATAAAAATAATAAGCAAATTTATTATAGTACTGCATAAGAATTTCTGGGGATCATGTTAAAATACAGATTCTGACTCAAAAGGAATAGATGGGGATTAGGATTCTAATTTTCTAATGAGCAATAAGATAATGCTGAGTATTTGAGTAATTAAAGGTTTATAAAGTTCTTTATACTTTATATAGTTCATGTAGCAACGGTTTTTCTGGTTCTTTATATACATTTCTTTAGAAAAAGTAAATAGTACAAAGTAGTAGAAAAATTCCTGGAAAGAAATAAAGATTAATAGTGGGAAGTCTTTCAAGTTTGGATGATAGGTTATATAATTTTCTTTATACATTTCTCTCTCAATATTTCCTTGAGTAACATAAATACTCTCATAATCTGAAAAAATAATCACATAAAATACTGTTTTGAAGGTACTTACCCTTCTGGATCTTCTTCCTACCCTAAGCACTTTTTGTAACCTTTACTATTTCTGGAATGTTCCATGGTGCTAGGAAACCCATTACTTTTGTGATGTTTGACTTACCAAGTAAGGTGTCACCTCCCGTTTACTTGCTACTTGGATTTAAAACCAATGAAAGCAGCTTCTGTGCCAGGGTTGAGGAGAAAGGGAAAATTCTCAGCAGGGCTTCCTGAAGGTTGTATTTTACTTTTACAAG